CCCGGGCGCGCCCCCCTCAGCAGCTGCCTGCGTGCGGCCCTCACCTGCGTCCGCCATAGCCCGGGTGGCCTCCGCCTCTGCGCAGAGCCCCCGGCTCTGGTTCCGGTCCAGATCTTCTGAGGCGTGCTCGGGAGGAGCGCTTTCGGCGGGAGGAAGTTTGCTGCCCCCATCCAGGCCGCTCATTTTGGCTGCAGTCAGACCCGCAGGGGAACAGAACTCTTCCTTGCGCTCCGCAGAAGCCCCGCGGTACCGCAAAGAGCACCCCAGTAAGACCCTGTTTCCGCTGGTTTACCATGGCAAGCGGTGACGTCAGGGGCAGTCTCGCGATAACTTGCTGTTTGGCTCATTACACTGGCCAATGGAACGTATTCCTTTGTGTCATAACAAAATGTTACCAATTTAACCAATCTGGGAAAAAATTTTGACCTATAAAGGTAGACCAAACTCAAGCATACAAAAACTGTTGATGTGGATTTCTAGGCCTCTGAACTTCTGAGGTATCTGATATTCTCTCCTAAAATACTTTTTAAAAAGTTAGATATTGTCAAGTCAGAGCATAGGGCATCTCGTGAATAGAAAAATGGACTCACCGACTCCCAATCCTTCCTTTAAGATACAAATTCGTAGCTATTACTAAACAATTGAGATAAACAATTTGATTTTTATACAGAAGTGAAGTATTGCTATGCTGACATGATTTTTAAAAATAGAAGAGTCTGAAAGGAAAACTCTCAACCTGAAGACATAATAAATATGTATTATTTCAACTTTCTTATATTTTAAATGAAAACATTAAAAGGTATTACCAAAATAAATAATGTGACTGCTGGCATCAGTTGGGTAGATATATAGACTGTCATTATGAAACATATCTTACAATGTGGGTACATCAGAATATGGTACACCTGTATAAACAAAGCCTATTCTGCTGGCAGTTTTCAATAAAACTCACTTCATAGAAAAAAGTATGATTCTGTGATTCAGTAATGTATGATTCTGTGAAAAAAATCCATAAAAAAGGTCATGAAATCCTATGAGGTAATTTTTATTTGTCCAGAGATAAATTTAACACAGTCCAAATGTAAACTCATACAAATACTAATGACAGTAAATGCTGAAAAATGTATGAAATGTATCCAAAAGTTTATTTTCCAGAATTCTACATTCATTCATATATATATATTACATTTATTTAGTGCTTTCTGTATACCAGACACTTGCAAACTTAAATGTATCTTCACTCATTTTATTCTCACAAGGACCCTGTGAGGTGATAATATGACCTCCGATTTACTTTGCCTCAGAAGGAACTGAATCAAATAAAATTTAAGATCACACAGCAAATGGAGCCACAATGTGAACCCAATTCAGGGTCTGTACACTCATTAATTATACTGTTCTGCAAACCTATACAACATATAAATTGAGAAGGCGCTTCCTTGAAAATCAGATTAGCCAGGTGTAGTGACACATACTTGCAATTCCAGGAGGAGCAAGGTGAGCTCAAGGCCAGCCTACCATAGACTGGGGCACTTATGAACAATAGACATTTATTTCACACAGTTTGGGAAGCTGGGAAGTCTAAGATCAAAATGCCAACAGATTCAGGATCTGATACAGGCCTCCTTCCTGATTCACAAAGGGCAATCCTTTTGTTGTTTCCTCACAAGGAAGGGCTGAGGGATCTCTCTGAGGCCCCCGTCTCAGGCGGGCCCTAATCTGGGGCCTCTCAGAGGCCCCGCCTCCAAGTAGCCACACTCTGGAGACCCAGTTCCAACACAGCAATCTTAGCAGGAACTCTGTCATCCTCCCTCCCCGCCAATCCCAAAATCTAGTCACGATTGTTTGAGAAGTGTTCTAATTAATAATGAGAGGAGAAAAAATAATTTATGACCCTCCGTTTCAATGCCTTACTAGTTTCCAATCCATCAAATTTAATGTCTTCTTTATAACAAATATTTTATAACTCCCTTTTTCTTGAAATTTCAATGGTAGCTAGCCTTTTATCATTTTTTTTTAGAAATTAATAAAGGTCTTAGCTGTAATATGTAGGAGAAATAAAAGGGAAGTTGTTTTTAAAATATCACATCCATATGTAAATATTTGGGCATGTACATACTTTATGACATGATGTAGTTATACATACAGAACAACCAGTGTATGGAGTTACTGATGCAACCCAAAACAAGTATGTAACACTAGAGACATAAGCAGCAATGGTGCGTACTGAAATATTCTGAAAGAGCAATTTTATGAGAGTCTTGGGAGAAAAGTATAGAATTTCAATTCTAGAGTAGATATCTCTTTAATTCTAACACGCACTTTTTATTTATATTCTAGCATCTCTGAAATGATTATCCCATGATATATTCGACAGCATCTTACAAATGCAATTAGCAGAAGACCAGTCATGGTACCCCTGTTACTGTCTGCACACATGGAAGCCTGGTTGGTCTTCCTGGCATGAGCAAACAGCTGCAACCTCTTGCAAGATATTTGAGGTAGAAAAATTAGTCCTATGTTTTTTCTGAAAACCTGCTGCTATTTTCTGGTAAGATCAAGAGAGCAGAACATTGAAACTTGCAGAATGAATATGAGTGCCTTAAGAAAACTATCTCACACATGCACTTTTTTTGTCTTTGTTTTTGTTTACTGGTACTGGGAATTGAATCAGGGCCTTCACGCTAAACAACATCCTAGCCCTTTTCATCTTTTTGGACATCTTTCTAAATCACCAAGTTAGACTCGGACTTTCAGTCCTCCTGCTGTAGATTACAGAGTGCTGTGATTACAGGCATTGGTCACCATACCCAGCTACCAGCACACTTTTGTAAGTTGCAGGTCTTTCTACTAAGACATATTGTTACCAAAATTGTTCAAAATGTATAGGATAGGGCCAAGAATTTAGCTCAGTGGTTCTGCCACCTGCCTTGCCAACCCAAGGTCCTGAGTTCGTTTCCCCAGTAGGGGAAGGGGGTGATGTAGAGGACAAATTTGAGTAAACTGAACACCAAACATTTTAGTTAAAAAATTAACGTTATTATTCTAAATGAGAAAATGATGAGATTAAAAAATTGTACTCATAATTTACCTTTTAGATATACTCACAATTGATATGATAAAATTATGTAAGTCTAAAATTTTTTTTAAATTTACAATTTTTACATTGTGAAGAAATGGTACATTTTATAATAGTTTTGGAATAGATGAAATGAGAAATGACTTTTTCTTTTTGGTAGCAGGGAGGTATGTTGCCACTGAGCTAAATCCCCAGCCCAAGAAATGACTTTTAAAATGCAGCATGTATTATAACATGTAAATTTTTGTGTTTTCACGTGTAAAATAATGCCAGGTTCTAGACTTAACTAATACTAGTTTTTTTAATCTAAATAATTGTTTAGCATTAGATTTTTTTTTTCCCCAGTATCAGCCTTCACTGATCTACATCCTCAGCCCTTTTTTATGTTGAGACAGAGTTTCACTAAGTTGCCCAGACTGGGCTAGAATTTGCAATCCTTTATTTTATATAGGGAAATGTCCTGATGTGGAACATCCCTAATGCTTCCAATAAATGTCCCCCCATTCACTAAAACAACCAAAAGTATGATGGCAACTAAAAGGTGGACGTAAAGAATATTTTGTTCAAATGCTGATAGATATGATATTCCCATTGCTAGTCACCAGAGGAAGGAAGTGATCTATAAAATGATAATTTGTTCAGGTGTGACAGTGCACACCTGTAAGCCCAGCACTCAGGAGGCTGAGGCAGGAAGATCACTGTGAGTTCAAGGCCAGCCCAGACTTGTGTAAATTTACATATGTGAAAAACCAAAAGTATAAATAAGGATTAAAATGTATAATTGAGGGCTGGGGATTTAGCTCAGTGGTTCCAGCGCCTGCCTCCCAAGCACAAGGACCTGAGTTGGATTCCTGGTACCAAAAAAAGAAAAAAAATATATATAATTGATATTGTGTAGTAGGAAGAAAAGGCCTAAAAGAGTAGAGGAAGTGGGAGGGGTAGGGGAAAGGTAAAAAGAGAAAATTAAAAATATGTGAAAAGGAAAAACATGGAAACAATGTCTTTTTAAACAGGGAAGGGTGAAGGGATGAAGAGAGGGCTGGGGAATGAGAAAAAGTAAGAACCAAGATGAGTCATGGAAAGGTACAAGATCCCAATGATGAATGTAACTGTATACCTAACATGTACCAATAAACTTAATAAAGATTTAAAACATGGAAAATTTCTCCCAGAAATGTTTAGTTCTAATGGCTCCTTCCATTAATTCTTTACCAAAAAAACAAAAAAAAAAACTCATATGGCCCTGCTTTCTCCCATCATAAAGGAAACCAGAGACAAGGTCCCTGACCTAAATGATCTCACACATCCATTGGCTGGTTAAAGATCACACTTTAGAATCAGATCTGGCTTCACATCTGTTGTGTTGCTTACCAGCAAGTTGGTTTGGCGAGTATATCACCTCTCAGAGCCATAATGTCTTGACTATAAAATGAGCATAATAAATCATAATTTATGGGACTACCAAGAAGTACCTGTGAAGTCCCTCACAGGATAAAAAACAGAAGCCAACTTCTTCATTTTTACAATTTTTATCCTAAGATTTACCTACATTAAGTCGACTGTTTCCCAGGTTGTATAAAATCAATGTCAGATTCTATCATGAAACTCCCAATGTACAGTTCAGAAACAACATACATGTAAAATGAAGCAATACGTGAAATTTTGTGAAAGAAGAGTTGAACTAGATCAGGTATAATATTATTTGAATAACAAGAAAGAAAAAACATTAAGACACAGTAATAATGCCTGTCTTCTATGAATGATTCTAGTCACAGCTGTTTCTGGACAATGGTGAGGGGATACTGCTTAAACTGAAGTGTTTAACACCTCCTTTCATTTAATATCACATTAAATACCTTAGAAGATATCGTTAAAAAATAATTGAAGTCACTTTTAATAGCTAATTTTAAGCAAACTTACTTGCTCCATCATACAGCGAAAGACAAGAGTGCACAGGTTCTAAACCAAGTTTGTCTGATCTCAAAATCTTTGCTTATGATGGATTAATAAATTCATTTCACCAATATGAGACCAACCTGGAACATGGCCACTGTCTGAATGCAGTGAAACATCTACTATGGAAAGGAATGTAAGAGAGATGATTAAAAAAAACACATCTTTTTCTGATATATAAATACATATAACTAGAGAGTGAAACAATTCTGGAAAAACGAGCAAAATTGAGATGCGTACACATTATAACCATGATAATTCTAGGCACTGTAAGGCCATAAA